CAAACATACAGTATGCTTTACCATGTTTTGTTTTTTTAAGTAAAAGTGTCTAAATATCCTTAAAACAAGATAAATTCACTTGAGAAACAAAATTGTTTAAGATGTTAAGCTTTGTTTTCAGAGAGCATACTACTTGAATTAAGTCATTAGCCAATCAAATTGTTCTTAAGTATAAACAACTAAATATAGTGATGTATATGCTGAAAACTGAAAACATTTATGGTAAAACCTGCTCTAATATAGAAACAGTCTCTTTGAGTTGTTTGTATATTTGACTCTCTGTTGTGTGGCACCATCTACTGGATAAACCTGAACCAAATCTCTGAGATTTACAGTGACACATGAGACAAACTTAAAATTTAAAACCAAATGACATTTATATTAAAGAAATATAGCATGAGCACAATGTAAGTTGTACTGTAGATTCACCTTAACAGTAACAGTATCATTCAGTCTAACCTATATAAAATGTATAAAAAAAATGCCAAGACCCAAAAACAAGCCCAATAAAAATTAGGCCCCTTCCCATTTCTGTAATGTTCAAACCTGCATTAAAGCTTGTGGTGTAATCAGACTCTGTCTCTTAGATGGTCGACCTCCTCTTTCTTCTCTTGATCCTGATTTTTCTGATTCTGCTGGATCTTTTGTGTGGACTTGTGAGGAAAGTCCTAGCAATCTGGGCAAGAAAGTCATAATCAAGATATGATGATCCCATTTTAAGGTATCTATAGTAAATATTCATGCATGCAGTCACATTTATACCATAATATAAATACGTGTATGTGTTTCGCACTAGTTTTGAGCTTTTGTGCATTCTGTGCAGGTTACACACGTAACTGTTTAAGATCAGCCTGTAAGGCATCAAGAAACACTATCACTTTTAATCGGATTGAATTTTCATTTGGTTCGAGTTCAATCAGATCGAATGAGATGTTTGCATAAAGCCTTTTTCTGCCTGACTAAGCCATCAATTTTATTTCTAATGTATTATTTGCATATTGATTGTGTTTGATCATAGACACTTCTGGGTTCATAAACGTGGAACGTACTATAGATAGATATGCCCCTGCTTCCACAAGGTTTTTACCTCGACATCAAATTTCAGCTTTTGACTAAACACTGATAAGCCAAAACATTTTGACCTGTGAAGCAAATATTGCAGTGAAACAATCAGCTCTCATAATCAACATGTTGGATGCAAGAGAAATGAGCAGAAATAAAAATCTGAACCACTTTGACAGGGGCCAAACTGTTATGGCAAGGCTTCTGGTTCACAATATCTCTGAAACAATAAGTCTTGTGGGTCGCTCCAGGTCAGCAGTGGTGAGAATTTACCAACAGTGGTCCGAGGTGGGACAAACCAGCAACAGGATGTTGGGCTCTTAAGACTCATCGCTGCATGAGGGCAACTAAAGCTATCTAGTCTGAGCCAACCGAAGGTCTACTGTAGCACAAGTCACACAAAATTTTAAAGGGGATGGGGGTATAATGCTGTTTCATGCATTCAGAGTTGTTTACACTGTTAAAGAGTTGGTTTCTCATGCTAAGCATGGACAAAGTTTAAAAAAAAAAATTTGGAGTATTTCTGTGCCAAAAATCTTACTTCCGGGTTCGTACAAGTTTCGGAGAGTTTTTTTTCCATTGTGGCTCTTCATGAAGTAAACGAGGGTGGAACTCCTTATATGGGCATTTCTCCCGGAAGAACACACCCGCACGCACATCGTCCAGAGCGAGAGAAAGATCACGCCCATTAACACGCTTCATCCGGTATCACTTCACGGGACTCACTCGGGAAGAATGTCTCCAAAGAAGTGTGTTTTTGGTTGTAAAGGAAAGATAAGTTCGACGCTGTATTTGCACATAGTTTGATACTGAAAGATGGAGCGGTCCCAGCTATAAAAGATTCCAGTCATGATTCAGAACTGCAGATGGTAAGTGAAACGGCATCAAATGTCTGTATTTTGTTGGCAATCAGTTATGGTGCAGACAGATTGACAACTGACCAAGGTTGAGCCGGAGGGACAAAGAATCCTGGTGGAGCCAAGGGGATGGTGGTCCCAGGTGAAGCAGAGAGCGACGAGCCAAGGTGGAACTGATTGCTTGACAGACCTAGGAGGAGTGATGTGCAATGAGGTCCTAGGTGGAGCTATTGTGTCGACCATCCTGGGCTGGGCTGGGCTGGTGCAGACTCAGACTGAGGTGGATCAACATTAACTGAAGGGCTGAAGAGAGACAGTGCAGACAGGGCCTGAGGACTAGGCAGTGCAGGTGGGGATAAACCAACAGGCTTAATGGGGCCACACAAGTCAGACATACAATTCAAGTTTGGTCATTTTTGCCGACATGGAACAGGCTATTTTGTTGGCAATCAGAGCTCAAGTGCTCGGCAACCTTTAGCTCCGCCCACGGCGCGCCTCCAGGACCAGGAGCAGGCCTACAGCAGAGACAAGGGAAGGAGGAGTCTTGAGGGAGGCTTGGCTTCTGTACCCAGGTAGATGACTGACCAAGATGGAGCTGGCAGAGGTAGAGACTAAAGCTAGGGCTGATTAATGGCGATTAATCGCATCCAAAATAAAAGATTTTGTTTTCATAATATATGTGTGTGTACTGTGTATATTTATTATGTATATATAAATACACACACTTATTGCTTCCTCATCCAGATTCCCAGAGTTGCAGAAGTACAACCCGACACAGACATGGTCAGACATCTTCCGCTCTGGAATGGACATGACAGCAGGCATTTGCTCGGGGTCCATGGCAGGAATCAGCTCTGGCTCTGGGTCTGCAGTGGGCTCAGGTTCTGGGTTGGTGGTGGGTATGGGCTCGGACCAGATGAATGAGGGCATTATGATGGGAATGGACTGGAGGGACTGTTGTCCACCTCTCCAACTGTGTATGATGAGCCACACAGCCACAGCACACTGTCCAAATAGTCCAGGGTGTGGCTGTGAATCTAAACATAAAGTTTAATATCGGTCTGTCAATATAAAGGCTGTAGGCTGAACAAAGGACCACTGACCCAATGCATACAGTTATTAAAAAAAAATTCCCAATGAATATCCAAATTAAACAAAACACAAAAATCAATACTTGTGATATTAGATTACACAACTTATTAGACTGATGTATAAAAAGCAATGGAAATTAAGCTGTGCTGACTTTATTATGTGCTGGTTCTATTTTACCACAGAAACTGAGCTTGTCACACTTTTCTCTCCATCTGTCTCTCTTCATTAAAAACTAGCCTTGATGAAACTTGCCTTACCCACAAAGTAGCAGAAGTCCACTATACACTGGGATCTGGTTTTCACTTTTTTGTCATTTACATCTCACAATTTTAAATTGAAATGCAATGATTAATGCAGTTTGGTTACTGGACTGCATTTAGTTTTCCAATTTTCAGTTATTTTGAGCCATCTTGTTGAGTTTCTCTTATTGAAGTCTTAAAAGTTTATGTTTGATCTTTTCCTGTAGGCCTATTACACAAATTGATTTAAATCTTATTCTTAAAATAATGGCCATCCCTCACATTCTTCCCGGTATTTCAGCTAGAACTGTTCTTATTTGGATATTTTTAAAAATAACACCAGTAGCACTATTCCCTTCCAATAAATTGGTATTTTCAAAACAAGAAACTGTGCTTCTGTATAAGTGGCAATGGCTTGAAATTCCCGTAATAGTTTTCATTAGCTGTCATCATGTGGATTCTTCTCCTCCCATCCCAACTATGTTCTCTGTTTTTTTCCTCACCTGCACAATTTCTCAGACCTTTGGCAGGAGTAAACATCTCTTTAACATAGAGATGGGATAGAAAGAGACAGGTGAGGCAAAAACAAAAAGTAAATTACCTTAAAGGGGTAGTTGATTGCAATTTAACTTTTTTAACGTTAGTTAGTGTGTAATGTTGCTGTTTGATCATAAACAATATCTGCAAAGTTACGAAGCTGAAAGTTCAATGCAAACGGAGATATCGTCTTTTCAAATTCTGGCAGTTTAATGCCTACAAAAACGACTGGTAAGGGACTACAACGAGTTACTTCCCAGGTCCATTACGTCAAGAACCCAGAATTTTACATAAACCCCCCCTCCGGGAACACGCAGCAAAGGGGGCGAGGCCATGCTGCGCTGCTTTAGAGAAGAGGAAGAGAAAACGTCTCCAGGTTACGTATGTAACCATGGTTCCCCGAAGGGAACGAGACACGAGGCGGTTTAGCCAATCACAACACACTGGGACAGCTAACCAATCAGAGCCCATCGTGTATTTCTGAGGGAGGGGCTTCATAAAAGCAGGAAATGATCAGCGTGTTCAGAGGAGAAGGGACAGAGTGTTGTGGAATAAAGGTAAATTATGTGAAAGATAATGCGTTTTTTTTAACAAACGAAGCATTAACACATGTTAGACTGCACCCCATAAACACAATCAAGCCTATAAAAAAACCAGTCAACCACCCCTTTAAAGTAAGTCGCATCCCTCTGTTTATTTATTTTATTTATAAAATGTATATTTTTTCTTTCTTTTTTTATTTTGCTTCATTATTTTAAATCTTTGCAGGTCACTATGAGAAACTTGAAGAACAAGATGCTTCCAAAATAGAATCTTCAAAATAGAATTCCTGTGATGCTTTGCATATTGTGGTATTTCACCTGAGGAAAAGGAAAGGACTACAATGTAAATGATGAATTAAACCTAAACTTACCATAAAACAAACAACATTTCCTCTTCAAAATCAACCGAAGAATCAAGATGGATATATTCCAGCTTTACCAGTCGAGTACGGTTCTTCATCAAAGGTGTGTAAAACATTTAAACTCCTAGTTGTATTCCATTTGTTCAGTAATATAGTGCCTGTTACAAAACTAGGTATAAAAACTAACCGGGAAGACTGGTGGGTGGATTATGTGAGCAGTGATATTGATAATAATTTATTCTGCTTTGTTTAGAACAATACTGTACAATTAAACAAACAAATAATATTTTTAATAGAAAAAAAATATCTTAAAGTTAAAAACAAAAAACAAAAATGACCCTAAATGGCAAAAGGTACATAATATAAAAAGGTACATAATATATTATAAAACAGAATATAAAAAATATAGACTATTATTTGTAATTCAACTGCATTTCTAGCCAGTCAGACTAGATAAAATTAGTTTATACTTTGTCACATTGAAAATTTCACATTGAATACCATCATTAATGTGGAAGCCACATTGACTCTACAACATGGACCATTCTTGTTAAATTACCTTGTCGTTTCCATTTTTACGTTGTTAAATTGTTGTTTAATGTGAGTGGTTGCTTTGAAAAACCAAAATAAATTGGTGTTAAGGTAGCATGAAAGCTATATTGTCACAGGTTATGTCATGGTTATAACACGTCGTCATGGAAAGGTGAAGATATTGATATATAAAACATGTATATATAAATATATAAAACATGTATATTATATATAAAACATATATAAAGATATATAAATCTTCTATACTTATTTTGCTGGATCTGTCTGCTGCTTTTGATACGGTGAACCACCAGATTCTCCTGTCAACCCTATTGGAAAATGGCATCTCAGGAACCGCACGCCAGTGGTTTGAGTCTTACCTCTCAGATAGGTCCTTCAAGGTATCTTGGAGAGGTGAGGTGTCCAAGTCGCAACATCTAGCTACTGGGGTGCCTCAGGGCTCAGTTCTTGGACCACTTCTCTTCTCTGTCTACATGGCATCACTAGGTTCTGTCATTCAGAAACATAAACAGCTTTTCATATCACTGCTATGCTGGTGACACTCAACTCTAACTCTCATTCCATCCTGATGAGCTGATGATAGCTGCTCACATCTCAGCATGTCTAACAGACATTTCTTGTTGGATGACGGACCATCACCTTCAACTCAACCTGGCTAAGACAGAACTGCTTGTGGTTTCAACAAACCCATCACTTTATCAAAATGTCACCATCCAGTTAGGCTCATCAACCATAACTCCTTCAAAAACAGCTAGAAACCTTGGAGTTGTGATTGATGATAAGCTGAATTTCTCAGACCACAATGCTAAAACTGGGGTCCTGCAGATTTGCTTTATACAACATTAGGAAGATCAGGCCCTTTCTTTCAGAACATGCAACACAACTCCTTGTTCAAGCTCTTGTTCTGTCCAGGCTAGACTATTGCAATGCTCTCTTGGCAGGTCTTCCAGCCACTTCTATCAAACCTCTACAATTAATCCAAAATGCCGCTGCAAGATTAATCTTTAATGAACCGAAAAGAACGCATGTCACACCTCTGTTCATCAATTTGCACTGGCTACCAGTAGCTGCTCGCATTAAATTCAAGGCATTAATGTTTGCCTACAAAACCACCACTGGCTCTGCACCCATTTACCTAAATTCATTACTTCAGAGTTATGTGCCCTCTAGAAGCTTACATTCTGCTAGTGAACGGCGTATTATTGTGCCATCTAAAAGAGGCACAAAATCACTTTCACAGACTTTTTCATTAACTGTTCCCTCCTGGTGGAATGACCTGCCCAAATCAATCCGAGCAGCTGAGTCCTTAACCATCTTCAAGAAACGACTAAAAACACATCTGTTCCACCTTTATTTGACCCTCTAACTCTAAGTTCTTAATGAGAATGTTTTATGGAAAATAATAGTTTCATTTGACTAGTCACCATTATGGCGATTAATGTTGGAAATGGAAATAAAATACAATGGAACGTTCTCTTAATGTTCATATAATCAATAAAAAAGTTTTAAACATTTAATAAAAACTGTACATTTTCAGCATTTAGAGAACATTAAGAAATGTTTTCATAACTTAATGGGAATTAAGCAAAATGCTTTTAGAACATATTTTTGTTAGTTGGGATACTCAAACCTTACAGAGTTTCATGACGTCATGAGACATTTACAGACAAGCAGCTCCGCATGGCTCAGATCCCCTATCACTGCTAGATGTCAACTTTGCCATCTTGTGGAATATGAGGGAGCTTTATGATAACGGCATTCCTGTGCAGTTACAATAAATGTCCTGAGGGTTTAAGAAAAACACAGATGCAAAACAAAGACATTTTTCAGCCCCAACATGACCCACATCTCATCTGATCATCTCATTTTCACATGAGATGTTAATCATAAAAACAGACACAAGACAAGTGTGTCTTCATGATTCAGTGAGTTCATGTGTTCCCAGTTAATGTTATTTATTGTGCAAAAGGCAACTGTTACTTTCAGATCTGTCAATAAAAATTATTAAAATCAACACACAAAGTGTGTTAGATTCATTCAAATCGACTGATATAAAAAATATTTGGCACAAACAGGATGAGAATCTATGAATATACTAGTAGAACTCTGTGTGTGTGTGTGTGCATGTGTTTACATGTTTGTTTTGCTTGTGTTAAGGCAGACGACAACAAGACAGTGGGATTTGTTTAGTCTCATAAACAACCTAAACAGAAAGAAACAGAATACAGAGAGAAAGAAAGGGGGAACAAGCAACAACCAGCTAACAGGAAAAATTCTCACAATTTTAGTGAACATTTTGACAAGGTCCTTTCAAAGTTATGAACAAACATTTTTTCCAGGAACATTAATAAAACATTTGTGCAAAGTTATCTGTTTTTTAATACGCCTTTTGTTTTTCAAAACATTAGCATCATTCATGCAGCGTTTATACCTGAAACATTTTGGATGTTCATGTTGGATGTTCAAATGTTACTTGTTTGTTTGAAGAATGGTGAAATGGAATGTTCAATTTAATGTTCAAATAATCAAGAAATAAATATTTTTAAAACATTTAAAAACCAGACATTTGAATTCGAAAAGTTAATCTGAATTAAAACTAGCAAACAAACAGACATGCTGATACTTTTGCTTTCTGTCTCGTTTAGTTTCTCCA